AAGTGATTCTGCAAACTGAATTAATAATTACCTAACATTTACTAGCTCCTTTACTGTGCATTAGATGCTTTACACCAAGGAATTTATTTACAATGAGTTTGAGTGAAGATCAATGAGTACCATCCGGTACAGGGAGAGATTCATGAGCATAAGGATCAGAATATGACTGGGACCTTTGTTCTCCTGCCATCTCATAGAGTGACTCAGACAAATGCAGAAGGGCAGCTCTAGAGACCCCACCTCTTAGTTGTTCTTTCATTTGATAAAGAATGCATGAAGGAAGCCTTATAGCTCTTGGTATTATTTGGGAATGGATACCAAGCAGTCAGAATTTAAGAGCCAAATTCCCAAGGGGATACTAGAAAAGGCAGTTGTACAGCATTTGGAGACCTTGAGAGAAGGTGACATCATATACAGAGCTTGCTGCTGAGGGGTGGGGAAGCTGCTGGTCCCAGCTAGCAAACTGGGAAGAGCCTCTGGGTCATTCAAGATTCAAAGACAGTCTTGTTCATTTCTCCACGTTGACACTTTCAATTATCAAACACTATATTATGTGATTTGAATCTATTATCTCATGTAATACTCATAACAACCTTAAGTATTAAGTATTATTATTCCTGTTGTCATTTTACAATTCAGCAAACTGGAGCACAGAGTACTCTGGGTCTTCTTTTCCCTCTATATAATACAGTTTGTCAGAATTAGGTATATTATAAATTGAAGTGTGAAAAGGTTGAATATAGGAATAACTGGCATGAGGAGTTGAGGTCTTGATTTAGAACTTTGGGAAAGCAGAGGCATCAATAAATTTTATAGACATTGCAAAGTTAATTTTCTGAACACCACACAGCTATTAGGTGGGGAGCGGGGAGACACCAAGACTAGAGTGAGGTGAGTGAAGAACTTGGGTGCAAAATTTAAGAGGGTTCTAAAAAACTCAATGGTTAAGATAAATATTTTTAAACAATATTTAAAAATTCAAAATAAATGCAAAAAAATCTGTGATGAACAAAATGTCAAAATTTTTAAAGCACACAGGATCAGTCTTACTGATTTTTCCTTTTGTCTCTGTCTCTGATAAGATTTGGCACGAGGTGAGAGGCATTAACTTTAATGCTACCTGTCTAAGCTGAGAGCATCATGCTGATGTTTCTCAGAATATGAAAGATAAAAAAAACAGTCTTAAAGAATGTAAGACTGATAGTCAAAGTGAAACCATTTTTGGAGGAAAGCAGAAAAGGTGACTAATTTCTCTTGTATCTTTAGAAACACGTATCTGTATAGTTTGGCTGCAAAGACAGAGCACAAAACAATCTTATTTAACCTTAAACTTTTTCTTGTTTCTCTTGGTATTCTTTTATGAGTGCCAAGAATCCAATTACTGATCATAAGGGGCCTAAAACAATTTCCCCTGCATCTAGTGACACATATTTTCATAAGAAATATAAGAGACAATTATGAGTGACTTCAACACAAAGAAACATTTCTTATCTCATATAACAGAAGCACTGGAAGTAGGGTGATTATTCCAAGATATCATAATCCAATGCCTCAGCAATGTCATGGACTCAAGTTCTTTCATTTTTAACCTTTGCCTTCCTCAGTGAGTCAGCTACCATTCTCATGGTTATAAGGTAACCATAGTAGCTCCAGGATCTCTGATACCATGCAGAAAACTTCTTGTTCCCCCTTTTAACAGCAAGAAAACCACTCCCAGAATATCTCATCCAAGATTTTACTCTAGAATCAATTGTGAATTCACTTTTCTGTTTGTTTGTTTGACAGCACTATAGCACAATACTTAAGAGACATGGGCTGGAAGGTACAAAATCAGGCTCCATCACTTACTAGCTATGTAATCTTAGGCATCTTATTTAAGTTTGCTGTGCCTTAGTCTTCTTATATTTAAAATATAGATAACATTATATAACTACCACATTAGGTTATTGAAAGGAAAAAGTGAGTTAACATATGTAAAGTTCTTAGAATAGAATCCAGAAGGCAATATACACTCTATAACTATTAGCTACTATTATTTTTATGATGATACTTATTGTAATGTATGTAATTTAAGTCATGGAAATGTGGGAAGTAAGAAAGTACAATTACTTGAGTATAACTTTAAAAAGAAGATACTAAAAGGTTTAGTTGCATGGTAAAATATTATTCCCATTGATATAATTTGGATATGATGTCTGAGAAAAGGAATGAGAATCAAGATATATTTATATAATCTATATTACTATATATCTATCTTTTCAAAGTTGTTGTCTACATGGCTGAAAATCAGAAGCAGGTCTCAAGCCAGCAACATTAACTTCATGGAAATAATCTTATTTGACTATTTTAGAATGAACCAAGCAATATACATTTAAGCATATATAGTGCATTTAAGCATACGGATAATTAAACTATCTATTTTGTTGGATTTTATTGTTATGTTTCTCAGTGAGCACTTAGAAAGAAGGGGAATGGGTAAGTGATCTCAATCTATTTATGTCATAAAAACCCCATTTGCAGTATTTTTTCCATTAGATACAAAATATACTAGTGTCAAAAATGTCTTTAATGATGACTGTACAATTCAGTTCCTTACACATAATTCTTTTAAAATTTTCAACTGCAATTATAAAATTCCATTTTGTTTTCTTTTCTAAGGTTTAATTTAATCATTCAAACTACCATATCTTTCTGACATGAAACTCTCCAGAATGCAGTAAAATAAAGCCCTAAATGTAAAGTTACAATGTCATGGAATATGGAGATAGGTTTCCCTGAGACCAGCATTTTGTATCTGGTCATCTTTGGATGGACTGTGAATCTCCTGAGATAAACATAAAATTAAGAATTTTCCCCAGGAACCTCCTCTCATATTATTTTCCCCATCTCTATGGGATCTTACCCATCAGCATAAAAATGGAATGTCTTTCCCAATGTAACAGTGTCAGCAACAGAAAACCTACTATTATTCTAATCCTTCTTCAACAATTGTCCAATCTCTCATTTACCTTACAGTAAAATATACTGTCTCTAACTCCTTCCCATTTATTCTTGAATGCATTCCACTGAAACTGCCCTTTACAGATTACCAATGACATCCTCATCATTAAATCTAAAGGTCTATTCTCATTTTATCAATTACATTTGTCAGTTGATCATTCTATCCTTCTCAAAACAATTTCCTCACTTGATATCAAGTACATTACACTCCTTTTTTCTGTCTCTGTCTCTCTCTCTCTTCTCTCTTCCTATTTTTATCTTTATTTCTACTTCTCTCTCATCTCTCTCAGAATCCATTGCTGGTTCCTCCCCATCTCTCTGACTTATTCCTATCTTCTAAATGTTGGAGTGTTCCTGAATCCCCCTCCTTTCTAATCACATTCGGTGACATGGCTTTGAATACTTCTGTCATCTGTTGAACTCCCAAGTTTCTATCTCCAGTGAGGACTTCTCTTTTGTAAGTCATATTAAGCTATACAAATGTCTATATCCCTACATAGGTTTATAAAAGGCAACTCAAGTTTGACAAGTCTAAAACTCAGTTACTTATATACTCCCCCCTAAAAAACCCTGCTTTTCACTAGTCCTTCCCATTTCAATAAATGGCATCGCTATCATTACATTTTCTCATACCAAAAACCTTGAAGTTAACTGGTACTCATCTCTTTCTCTACATCTTATAGCCAAACTGTAAGTTTCTATTCTTAATTCTATCTTTTAAATACATTGAGAATCTGACCATATCTCATTACAGACACTTAAAATCCTGAGAGAAATTACTGTAATCTTTCTTCTGGATTATTTCATTTGGCTCCTTTCTGATCTCTCTGTTTCCAACCTGGCATTCTTTCAATCCTCAGCACAGCAAATGCCATTACATAATTCAAATCACTTCATTCCTCTGCTCAAACTTTCCAATGACTTCCTATCACGATTAGAGTAAAAGCCTAATTTTGGAGTACTTAACCTTTAGATAATATAGTATGTTGGTATAATTCTAGTCTCAAGATATCATAGGGAGAAGAATCTTAGAAAAGCTAAAATAGTTTTTAAAATTAAGGAAAACATAAATCTAAAATTTAATTATAGATTAATGAAAAATCAGGTGCAATTTATACCATATTTATAGATGGATAACCTCTTCAATCAGATCTTAAAGTCTATACTTACTCTTCAGAGAAATTTTCATGTAATTTGAATGAGAAGAACAACATTTTGGAAATCCCTAATATGTCTAATTGCTTACATTTTTAATATCTAATCTCTCATTCTGCAAGCAGTTTCTACCTCCTAGGAAATAAAAAAAAGGGAAGATTTATAGATTTTATTATTTTTTAAAATTTTATCCATTAAATTTACTAAAAGTTCAACTACTTTTTGTTTTTAGATACTAGGATATCCAACAAAGATAAACCAATTGAATCTGGCTGGAATTTGATATGATCACTACCTTTACAATTCCAGAATTTTCCTGATGTATCTCAAATGATAATAAATGGACTTGTCACTTTTACTTTAGTCACAACTATTTAAGACAACTTGGAACTTACTGTTCACCTGAAAATTTACATAGCCATCTTCTCCATGATGCTTTCCAGTACAATATGGGCCAATCGTAATTTCTTCTGTTCCTGACCATCCAAACTTAGATTTTATATTGCAATTTGGATAGCATAAGTATACATTATTTTAATTTATTTCTGATTTTCCCATATTAAACTCTTATTTAAATTATAAACTCCTCAAGGGCAACTTCATTCTTGATTATCCCACAATGTTTGGACACAGTTACCCAATTATTTTTCTTTTTAATTGAATACATTTCCATACTATAACAAAATTTAGTTTCTCTTTATTAGCAAAAAGAACTCTAGCCAAGAAATATTTAAATTCACAAAATAGGTATATTAATTTAGTCAAAAGAACAAATCAGAAAAAGTAACTTTTCTTAGTTTCTTTGGAAATGATTATAAAAGTTTATTTTTTTAAATTACTTTTAGCAAGCTCGATTTCCAAAATTGGTTCAGATCCTATAAAATTTGTACATCATGCTGTGGAGGAAACAACGGACTGGGTCTACGGCTTCTTTTCTTTGTTGTCTGACATCATCTCATCTGATGAAGAAGATGATGACGATGGGGACGAGGATACTGATAAAGGTACAAAGAGCCTCAAGATATATCTAGCTGCTAGGCCAATGTTAGATATGCATTACAGTAGTTTGCTTAAGTTTAAGCACAACTGAATATTTGGGTCAGGCTAAAACAAAATAAATACACTTCTAAGTGCTAATAGTGTAGGATGCCAAACTCAGTAAATTGGCCTCATTTACCTTTCATCTTATAGCTTATCTGCCCTTGTGGCAAAGATGTCGAAATTAAATGATACCGTTAGAGTAGCATTATAGTAGAGTGTCTTAATAAGTACTGCTATTACGTACTTATTACTTAATAAATAATAAGTATATTTCTTCAGAGAAAAATAGTAGCTATTTTTCTCAAGTTATTCTTAGAAAGACTGAAATAACACCAGCAAAACTAAATATACATATAAATGTTTTATACACATAAGTCATATCAGTCAAATAGTAGAAAGCAATTCTACTAAAATTACAATCAAAAGCAAATTTATTGAACCAAATGGAGGTGTAGAATGGAGGGACACATTCTAAATGTAACAGAAATTATGCAACTAACATATGTACTCTCTCATATATATTAATAAATGAAAGAAAATAAATTCAAACCACACATAAACTACTACTAAGTAGATGTGAAAAGAACAAAGCATTTTGATTCTATCTTTTAGATGAGATTTTTTAAGGTCAGTCTTGGTCATCAGATATCATGTATTCAACCTTGACCACCAGAAAAGCTCATTATTTTAGCCATTTCTATGACTTTGTCTGAATTTGTATTTGTTTGGCCCCAGTGAAAGGTCAAGATGAACTGAAATGAAAGTGATATATGAACTGTAATGTGTAATTTGGATCACTGCCACAATTTTATTGAACTCATAAAAGTAAAACTATTTCAAATAAATATACATAAACAAAGTTCATACTTAAAAACTGGAATTTGGGAGCAAAGTTAATATAAGGACTATTATCATCAAAACTAATAAATTAAAAAAAAATGAACAAAAATGGGGAAATAAAGAAACAATATTATGCTATGTTAAATGTTTTTCTAATTTACTGTTTTTGTCTTGGTCTAGGAGAAATAGAAGAGCCTCCTTTGAAAAAAAAAGGTTGGTGTTTTTTCACCTTTGGAAAAAAAAATTTTCTCTTATGGTAATGTTAAATTATTTAATTGATAATTTCTTCAGTAGATGTGAGAATCCATCCACGCACAGATCAATGTAAGTTGAATTTGTGGGAATGAAGGGTGATTTCTGTAGCCTTGGAAATGGCTCAAGAAGATGATGTCCTTGACCTTTAGTCTTACCATGGCCAGATTTATTGATTTAAAGTTTTTCTTCTTTTTCTTCTTATTTGATCTTCTGTATTATTATTATTTTTTTTTTATTTTTAGGTAACAACTATGGGAAAAGGTGGCTGAGATAGGGTGGAAAATGATAACTCTGGACAGATAGTGTATCTAGTCAGTATGTATCACATACCATCCTGAAGGATTTGAGTTATATGAGTGTGCTAGGATGTAGTATAGAGGGATTCTTTGCAAGAATAGCTAAGGTCTCAGTGACTGAATGCGATGGTGACAAATCCAAAAGATAGGAGAAGTAAGACTAGGAAAAGGGATATAGATATGGGGCAAGAGCCTCAGAGGGACAGCAGTTTTTACAGGAAAGAGTAGGAATTATGACTGGAAGCATTGATAGGGAGCAAGGGATACTATTCTGAGGTGCATTTAGTGTGCTTGAGAAAATAAGACAGACTTGCTATAATTGGAATGTTTTAATTATTGCTGCACATGTTTAGCAGCAGACTCTTGGGAATATCTCCACTGGAGGAGAACTTGCTGGCTTCTGTTGCTATCTTTCCAGAACTAGGTACATGCAAACAATAGGATCCAAATTTGGAGCTTGAGCCTTGCCTGAGCTTATAATGATCATCTCACTATCTGGGGTAAAATCCATTTAGCATATGCTAATTTGGAAAATATGAATCTGTAAATTGTCCAACAAAGGAGAGCTAAACCAATGAAACCCAAGTGTGACAAAGCCATCCATAAATGAAAGTGTTTATAAAGCTATTGAGAGGAGAAAAGACAAGTTTCCAGACTCACAAAGCCATGAGGAGAACCCAAGAATGCAATACATACTTCAGCCATCAAATTCAAGTTTAGAGATTCTAGATTAGTTTATTGACTTCTTGAGGTCAGAAATGGTCTTTTTATATCTGATTTCCAATGGGTAGTGCCTAGAATACAGCTAATGTTTAAGCTAATTAGTTACTAGTCATTATCTGGAAATAACAGCTTGTGAATATGTCTATTCCAATTGGAAATGAAAGAGGGAAAAAGAAATAATGATTTTTTTTTACTTACACTTATAAACTTAATTCTATAAGAATATCATATTCTCCATAAATAAAAATCTAGCCTTTAATAAAGAATCTGTTCTTTCCTTTTGATTTGAATTTCCCAGTGGGATTATTTTAAAATTAAGTTTTATGTAATGATAACACAAATTGCAAATCCACACAAAGCTGTTTAATTATTGTTTCTTAAATTATTGCCTTGATTCATCAAATCAAAAGAACTATTAAATAGTTTAGAATTCTTTAAAAATTGTCAGCAATGCTCATTAGTTAAAATACTTTAAAGGCTATGTATTATTTTAATTTATAAGTTTTCTTTTGTAGAGTCATGTAGGCAATGAGAGTTTTAAAGCAATATGTAATATTTTACAAAATATTTCTAATACATACAATACATTTAAAAGCATATTTTAATATTATTATTAGGGAAGAGATACTATCAGCTTCTTCCTATTTTATGATGAATTATTTTCTACATTTCCATATTGAAAAATTGTGGTTTAAGAAGTATTTTTTGTAATCTAGAATAATAGTTGTTAAAAACATTTGATTTGTTTTTCAAATCTTTGTTTCCAGCAAAATCAAAGGTAGTGTTATTCAATTACTGAGTTGAGAAATTATTCAGAATAAATTTCTTGTTGATCCCCTATGTCATTTTAACATTACTTGGAAGGAGATAAAAAAAATTGAATAACATTACCATAATAAAATTGTCATCTGTGTATATATGTGTGTGTGCATTTGTGTAGATATAGATACATGTACATGCATATGTATGCATGCATATATGTTCATAAGATTTCTTAACATTTGTATCTTTAACAGTGCACAATAGGATAGTATATGTTGTTGAATCTTACCTAATTCCATCTGTAAATCACATTTAGTAACCAATAGAAGAAATTTTTAAAGCTTTATGCATTTTGTAAAAAGATTCCTTTCTAATAAAATTTTACTTTTTAGGTTTAATTATTTGTACAAAAATTTCTGAGAATAACCATTATATTCTTATAATCACAGGATATGAAATAAAATTTAAATTTCAAGATGTACACATTCTTTTTTTAAAGAAGCATGATGGTATAATCAAGAAAAAAATTCCAGGATAAAAATATATTGCTTTTGAATAAAATTTTGTGAGGGAGCCAGAATGAAAATATAAATTCAGTGAGATAGGGAAATGATATAAAATTTCCAAATGTTAACAAAGAGCTTGTTGGTATGTACTTTAAATCAATAACAAAGTCTCATAATTCAGCACTTAGAGTAAATTCAATTTTTTAAAGGAATGTACCAATTTTATTTTTAAATGTCAAAATTTGCAATAATCTGTAAGTTATCTGCTATTTTTTAACTTGTGATGAAAAATTTTAGCTGTTATCTTCAACATATGGAAGTACATGCAGTTTTCCAAAATTCTCTAAGGAGATGTCAAAGTAAAAAAATTAAAGTCATTGTAATAGAAAGTGCACATTTTGTATTCTGGATGACCCTAGGATTCTGAGTCAGAACAAAGGATTGGAGGTTTAAAAGTCCAGTATGGTCAACAATGTGTATCCTTAGGTAATCACTATTTAGAAACGCTTACAAAATTTGCGAAGGCTGATAATAAAAGTTTGTTAAATAAGGTATTAAGTAAACGAAGCTTTTATGTGATATTGCTCATAAAGGTGATTATTTCTTACTAATATTAGGATCAATGTAACATGATATTCTATAGCCAAAATAATTGCAAAGGAGTAAAAAAAAAATCACCTTATTTAGTATAATGTACTGAGAAGACCGTGTTAAGAGTCTGATAAATAAATGAGCAATTGCGATAGCAAATGAGATAAAACAATTTGAACATTGCATATTTGATAACGATGAGAATAAGTCTTTATATAAAGTGATCATATACAAACTGAATGGAAAGATGATGAATACGAATAATAGCAATTATATTGCAAATAATCTATTTTATACAAAATTATTTTTAATTATCTTATTTATAAATATTCCAAGATAAATCAAAGCTCACCAACACACACACGTACACACACACACAGATCTAGTATTCTTTTTTATAATAATAATTTTTAAAATTTTTCAATTAGAGTTGCCATACAATATTATATTAATTTTAAGAGTACAACACAGTGATTAGACATGTACATAACTTACAAAGTGAACACCCTGATAAATCTGGTACCTATCTGACACCATACATAGTTATTACAATATTATTGGCTATATTCCTTATAGTATACTTTGTATCCCATGGCTATTTTATAACTACCAATCTATACTTCTTAATCCCTTCTTTTTCACTCAGCCCCCCATTCCTCCTCCCATCTGGCTACAATTAAATAGTTCTCTGTATCCATCAGTTTATTTCTGTTTTGTTTATTTGTTTAATTTGTTTTTTAGGTTCCGCACATAAGTGAAAAAATATGGCATTTGTCTTTTTCTGTCTGACTAACTCCACTCAGCACAATACTCTCTAGGTCCATCCATGTTGTTACAGATGGCAAGATTTCTTTCTTTTTTTTTTTTTTATGGCTGAGTAATATTCCATTGTATATATGTACCACCTCTTCTTTATTCGTTCATCCATTGATGAACACCCAGGTTGCCTCCATATCTTGGCTATTGTAAATAATGCTGCAATGAACATATGGATTCATACGTCCCTTCAAAGTAGGTTTCTGTGGATAAATACCTAGAAGTAGGATTGCTGGATTTTTCTTGTCTCTTGTTATAATCTTTGTTTTAAAGTATTTTGTATGGTATAAGTATTGCTACACAAGCTTTTTTTTTTTTTTTTTGGTGTATTTTAGTTTTCATGAAATACCTTTTTCCATCCCTTTACTTTCAGCCCGTGTGTCTTTCAATCTGAAGTGAGTCTCCTATAGACAGTATATATAAGGGTCTTATTTTCTTATTCATTCAGCTACCCTATCTTTTGATTGGAGCATTTAATCCATTTACATTTAAAGTAATTGTTGATAGATTTGTAGTTATTGCCATTTTATTATTTATAATTTGATCTCCTCCTCCTCCTCCTCCTCCTCCTCCACTTCCTCCTCCTCTTCCTCCTCCTCTTCTTCTCTTCTCCTTCTTCTCTTCTCCATCTTATTCTTTCTTTCTTTGAGTCCTTCTAAGATTTCTTGAAACTGGTTTGGTGTTGACGAATTCTTTTAGCTTTTTCTTCTCTGGGAAGCTCTTCATCTGTCCTTCAATTCTAAATGACAATTCGCTGGGTAGAGTAATCTTGGTTGTAGGTCCTTGCTTTTTATCACTTTAATATTTCATGCCAATCCCTTTTGTTGAGAAATAAGCTGGTAGTCTTATAGGAGCTCCCTTGTAGTTAACTAACTGCCTTTCTCTTGTCACTTTTAAAATTCTCCCTTTGAAAATAAATGAACAAACACAACAAAAACAGACTCATAGATACGGAGAATAAACTGGTGATTGCCAGATGGGAGGGGGATTGGGAGGCTAGCTGAAAAAGTTGAAGGAATTAAAAAGTACAAATTGGCAGTCACAAAATAGTCATGGGGAGTGAAGTACAGCATAGGGAATATAGTCAATAATATTGTAATAACTATATATAGTGCCAGGTGGGTACTAATCGGGGGTATCAGTTCATAAATTATATAAATGTCTAACCACTATATTGTACACCTGAAACTAATATAAAGTAATATTCAATGTCAACTCTAATTTATGAATAAAAATTAGACCAAAAGATTCTTTTTTTGTCTTT